GGGTGGAAGGAGGAGAGAAACTTTGAAAGGCATTTGACAGGGGAAGGTTGTATTCCCCAGGTAGCCCTGTCAAGCAGCACTGTCGACAACAAAAAGAAGAAAACAAATAAATTGGAGGTTGTGTGAATGTCGCAAGACCAGAATATAAATACGTATGACACAGAGAGAAGTAAATATCAGTAATTCATATCCTCAAAAAAATGTCTCAGGTTGATATCTTCTAGTTATCCCAGAATGAAGAGGCAAAAAATAATATGTAGGTAAGTCTCTGAGACACGGGTCTGGCATTCACCTTTTATTCATAATGCCAACCCTTACAAAGCACCACTGCAGGCACAATAGGCCGACCAACAGAAACAAAGAGAATGTGTCAAGACTCAAGACTCATACATCTAGAAATGGATCTAACGCTCCGAGAACGTTTCATCTCTGTCTAACTTTCCAACTCACAAGAGAGAATGCAGCCTTCAGTCTGAGCAAAGAATATCTTCAGATAGAAGGTGGAATTTAGGATGTAGGTTCTCTTTTTATGCTAAACAAATCGTAGAAACATGCATCTAAAAATTGATTTAAGATGATAGCGGTCGTTTTTTCCCCCTTAAAAATAAATCCTTCCAAGCTTGTCTTATCCATACCTACGTGAACTAAATCTTCACAGCTCTTAAAGCCTACCTGTTCTGTCAGCACTACTTTCCCCAGGGCCACCCCTTCTGAATTTGGCTTTGTGCTCAATGACACCACCTGTCCACCCCAGGCCTGGGTGTCTGGTCCAACGAGTGCCTTCTTGAAAACCTTACATAACTGCTTTTTTCCTGTTCCATGGGCCTCACCTCACCAAATCTAATGGAAGCTCTGGCCCAGAATCCAGGAATGTTGTTCCAGATAGAGGTGGCAGGGATCACTGCTCATTAGCATGAGCTCCTCCTCCCTGCCTGGGAAGTCAGAACACCTTCTTCCTGGAGTGGCCATGTCCTGCTAGCTCAGGAAACAAGACCCTTAGTCTGGCTTGAGAAATCTGGTTTCCTCCTCATGGCTATAAAGCCTTCAGTTTTAAATTTCAATAAATAACCACTCTCCTAAAACGTGCTAAACACCAGTAAACTGATAAAGAAGTATTGTCCAAACATACAAATCTGTAGGTAAGAAAAAGAAGGCTCCCCCTGCCCCCACCTCCTGGAACCTACTGAGCCCTAGCAGAAGGCTAAGAAATGAAAGTGTGTTGAATTTATTCAGGCTTTATAGCAAAATACCCTATACAAGGACCTAAAAGCGAAATCCAAAATCAAAAGGTAATCATCAGTTCCATAATATTTAGACATGATGTACCACCAAAATTATAAGAAGTATGTTTGAGATGCTTTCCGTTCAAAAGAGTAAAAATTTTTTCACAATTGGGTAACTTCCTTGGCTCTTTTCTGTTTTCATTAGACTCTCTCTGGACAGTCCAGCATTTCTGATGGTTTCAGTGACTTCACGTATGCTGATGACTAACAAGGACTTCTCTCCAGCTCAGACCTTCCCAAGCTCCAGGCCCATGCATGAACTTTGAATCTGTGTGGGCATCATTTTCCACTCCCATTCTCCTTTTCCTCTTGGGTGCCCCTAAATATCAACACCACTCACCTGGCAGCTCAAGTCAGGTAGCTGAGCACCTTCCCGGCCCCTCCCAACCCTGCAGCCTTCACATCTGGTCGTTTTCAGACTCTAAGGATTTTGCCTCCCTCGTGTCGCTGAAACACACCCCCCCCCCTCCCTGCCTACTGCTAGCTGAGCTCAGGCACTCACCATTTCTCCCTAGACAGATGCACGGGGCCTCTCAGCTGGTCTTCCCTTCCTGATCCATTTTTCATAGCCAGAAGGACCATTCTAAAAGGCAATGCAGATTATACAGATCATACCATTTTGCTGCTTCAAATACCCTAGATGGAGACAGAAGTCATTTGTGACCTACCTCCTGTCGATCCTATAAACACATCTTTCACTGTTTCTTCTCCTATCCTATGCTCTGGGGCTGTGGGAGTCCTCAAATGTTTAGTCTATGTTTCTCCATGCTTTTGTACCTACTAGCACTTTCTCTACTCTTCCTCACATCCCTCTTCTAACTAATTTCTGCTTATTCTTCAAAATCCATTTCCCTTCAGGAAGTATCCCCAAATTGCCTTTGGGTTGAGCACCCCTCCTGTGTGTTATGGCAGAGAAGTTCCTAGTAAATACATGGTATTCTAACTTCATTGTCCTCTCTTTCCCCACTGGGCTGAGAGAGAGAGCCCTTTGAAGGCCAGGCTCTGTCTTTTCACCTCCCAATTCCCAGAGCCATGCACAGGGCCTACCTAGTGTATGTTCTCCAGACAGTTCTATTGATTGACGAAGAGAAATGCCCTAGAATGAGGTCATGTGTTCCTGTGCTCCTTCTTGCTGGAACCTCACCTAAATTAAGGCTACAAAGAAGTAGATACTACTAAAGTGGGAAAATTTGGTCAAGCAAGGCACAAAGTCAGTTTTTAAGATGTGGGTCAGTTAAGCCTGATTATTGGAATGTGTCTCTCATGAAGATGAAGAGGAGAGTCTTGGCAAGTGCCAACTTCACAATGGCTTCTAGAGACAAAGTTATGTGGAAGAGAGCTGGACCCTGTGCACCTGCAGGGAGATGCTAACAAGGATGCTTAGGGATTTATCCATCCACACAGAAGCAAGCTGAGAAGCTTCTATCTGCTTTGTTGCCAATACACAGAGAAAAGGAGGTCTTTCTTCCATTGTTTCTGGGAGTTCTTTGATGTGAAAACACATAGTACGCCCCTACAGGCCTTATCAAACTTATACCTCAATTAGATAATTTTTAAAAATGAATATTGATGGGGTGCCTCGGTGGCTCATGTGGTTAAGTGTCTGCCTTCCACTCAGATCATGATCCTCGGGACCTGGGATTGAGCCCCATGTGCGGCTCCCTGCTCAGTGGGGAGCCTGCTTCTCCCTCTCCTCCCTGCTCATGCTGTTGCTATTTCTCTCTCTCTCTCTCTGAAAAATAAATAAAAACTTTAAAAAAATGAATCTTGAGAAAGAAATCCATTCCTGCCTTGGAAATGTCAGCCATGTGTGAGCTACACACATGACTTCAGGATCATTACTTCTGCCTCTGCCGTGCTTTGTTGAAAAGTTGCCTCCCTGCGTCCTACCTGCTTTGTTTTCTACCCAGATCTCTCCAGCCTGTGCCGTGCTCATGTATTTTAATGCTGTATCTCTGCACTAGGAATGGTACTATTAAGTTATCAGCCAGTCCTAATGATAGAAAAGCCTGTACTAAAGAAGGCTTGGCTTTTGGCTTCATGGCTCAGTAGAAACCTGAACAGCTCTCAACTTGGGAGCCCATGAGGGCACAAGCAACCTATGGATTATATAATCAGGGGGAGATTAGGCTAGAGGCATTACCTTAAAATGCTATGTTGGCACTGTAAGTAAACAGCTCTACTACTCCGGGGTATAAAGCTAGTCTTAGGGGTGGACATTATCACCAAACCAGCCATGTAATGACTTGCTAGGTGACACTCAGCTACCCTTTCAACATCTGTCTCCAGGAAACTTGTGCTTATCAGAACATGCAATTCTGTTGCTTATGGTTTCTATCCTAAAGTAGAACTTAGCAACATTTTAACATTTCCAAAATTAAGTGTGAATAGATACATTTTGATTAGAAACTCAAAATCACATTTACAAAGCTCCAGTGTGCGCACGCGTGCGCGCGCGCGCCCACACACACACACACACACACACACACACACACACACAATCTGGTTTGACAAAGCGGTTGAGTATCTTTTCTCTCAAAATTGTCATACTTCCTCCCAACCTCCTTTCAGCCAGGCACGTCCCCTTCTTCCCTTTGTGGACACTCAAACACGGGGTGGTCGGGGATCCCTCCCTATCTCTTCCTGGCCAGAGCCCTCCCGTTGGTCATGCAGTAGCCACCACGAGCAGATTCTGCTAGGACTACACCTTTCCTCTCTGCCTCTTTCTCTGACTTTGCCTGCATACCATCTCAGCTCTAGCCCACCTATATATTAATTTTGCTCTGATTAGTAAAATAATATTTTGATGTTCTCACTGCCAACCCACCAAACACCACTGCTTATCTTCTTGAAACATGTCTTGAATCGTGTCATTTGTCTGGTCAAAAGCTTTCAAGGGGGTCCCATGACTTCCTAAATCAATCCTATAACCCTAGATTGTTAGTTCACCTTTCTGCTCTATATTTTATTATTTCAGCTACAGGTATATATTCGCTACTCTCCCCCACCCCTCACAATTGGTGCCAGCCTACCCCTGTGCTATTGCTTGTGCTATTCACCCAAACTAACTCATGTGAGTGCTGGTTTCATTATTTACTAGATTTGTGCTTCTGTTTCCTCATTTATAATATAAGGATCATGTTGGCACCTACTTCATAGGGTTTTGTGATGACTGCATGAGGAAATCCATACAAAAGCCTTAGAAGACAGCACAGTCAGTAGTCAGTAAACGTTAGCGATCATTATCATCATTATCATCATCCCTTTCAAGGACTATTTCAAATCCACCTCTTTAGTGAAGTCTTTTTAAATTGCCCAACTCAATGTTATTTTTTTCCCTCTTTTTGTATTCCTCTGAATAGCATTTGACATATAATGCCCTGCCTTAGAATAGTGCGTGCAACTTATCTTGGCCTCAACTGGACTGTACACTTACTGAGGTTGGGGAAATTTCAGTCATCATTGTGTACTCTAAAGGACCTCGTATAGCACCTGGCACATCAAAAGGACTTAATAAATACTGGCTAAATTGAAAGAAATTGATTTTACTATTTTAAAAACTTTGTTCCTCAAGCCGAGAAAGAAATAACGCAGATAAGCAAATGAAATGAGCACCTCGGTAACAAGGCTGTTACTGTTGAAAGACACTGAGATTGATGTCATTAGAATGCACGACTGGCCCTGATAACACCCTTTCGTCCATGTCCTCCCTTGCAGGTCTGCTTAGTGGCCTATCTTGGTTTGTTTATGCTTTGTGTCTCATATCAAGTTGACGAACGGACGTGTATCCAGTTTGCTATGAAAGTAAGTTGTCATTTTTCTTTCTCTTTTATCATCACATAGAAAAAAGACCCACAAGTACAAAATAAAAGAATGCTTTTTAAGGGGTTGCAGATCTGATTATTTGAGAAATTGCATTTTTAGGCAGGGCAAAAAAAATGTTTTAGGAGGGCATTCATCCAGACCCCAAAGGTAATGCAGATTTTTTTTTTTTAAGTCTTAATTTCCATGCACTAGGTTGGTGCAGAGCATATGAAGTCTGTCCTTCAATGCCCTTAAAAGGAATATTGAAAATTCATCAGTTCAGCAAAACACTTGGCCAGGGAAAAGGTGTCTCTATTAGTGTCCACTTCCATATCTTGGGGGTTTTTAGAATATTTTAATAGGGAAGCAGTCTAAGTGTATTTCCTTTTGTAGGTGGGGTCACTGAGACAGAAAAAGTACATTGGGTGCATCCAAACTATCTGTGCCAAGAGTCTGAGGGCAAAGGGGGGAGGGTGGGATATGCATGGTTTAACAAGTGTGCGTGTATGTGTCTTTCACATGCATATATATATTTTTTGTCTAAGATGGTACATTTGGTTGGAACCAATTTAAGTACACAGCATTTTCACTGCACCGTAGAGTCTACTCCAAAGAGAAACATAGACACACCCTTTTAGAGTTTAGGGAGATAAACACCCAAATCAGCAGTCAGAGCTAGTAGAAATCAAATTCCTACATTTTCTTTCAACTACTTGTGGCAGAGAACAAAACGTTTTCTGTAATGTTAGTTTGTTGAGGATTTTTTTTTTTTGGTCCACTCACGTTGTTTATTTTTCTCTTATAACAAAACACATAGTAACTGGATACTTCTTTGTTCAAGCAAGAAACCATGGCACATAAGAGTAAATCAACTGTATTATTTAGAAATTAGGAAGCTGCAGAGAAGATATTTTGTATTCTAGTATAATTGAAGCGGTTGACATAAAAAAGCAAAATGCTTATATGTATGTATATTTAAATCCATGTTGTAAAAGAGTAATTAATGGGATAAAAGTGTTCACATTATATCAAGTAGCCAGAAAAAGCTGGCTACACAAAATATATGGTGTGATCCCACAGGAATTAAAAAAAAAATACCTTTCAGTGCATAGAAAAAATAATTATCTGTGAGTGGTGAGAGAATAGCCACATTTTGTAGTCTTTTTCTCTAATTTTGAAATGTTCTTTAATAGATATAACTTTCCTAATTAAATAAGCGATTCTATTTTTAAAAATTGATAGAATTTCATGGATATGCCTACATTTGGAAATTTTACTTTTTCTGTGTGAGGATGTTCCTTAAAGAGGTCATGTTTATTTTTTTGTAGGGGTCTGATTAAACACAGCAAGATTTAGTGATGATTTTGAAAAAAAAAAAAAAAAAGCCAGAAAGCCTGGTAAGAAATGTCCTGTTAAATTACAGGAACCTCTTTCCCTAGGGTAAGAAGTGCTCTCCGCTGGGTTCATCAGCTTCTGTGAAATGCCCTCATTTCCCCTCCAGATGACCCAGCAGAGGCACCTGCCTCAGCTTTAGACACCCCCCAAAGCCATCTCAACACCTGCACTTAAAATAAGGAGCAAGGAATAAAATATAAAATAAAATAAAATAAAATAAAATAAAATAAAATAAAATAAAATAATAAAATAAAATAAAAATAAATAAAATAAAATAAAATAATAAAATAAAATAATAAAATAAAATAAATAAAATAAAAATAAATAAAATAAAATAATAAAATAAAATAATAATAAAACAATAATAAATAAAATAAAATAAAATAAAATAAATAAAATAAAATAAAATAAAATAAAATACGTCACTGCCAGTGTCAGCCAGGGTGCGGATTCCCTGCTAGGACGGTCTCATTAGGTACCTCCCGCCGCCCCCCCCCCCACCTGTGACAGACATTGACAAATAGGGAGGCACTTTTCTCTTCTCCTGGATGTGACCTTTAGCGATGCTTGCTGGCAGCTCTCTAAGGTGCCCGCTACATTATCTTCGGGTCTAAAATGGGCTTCAGTGGATCTCCAGGTCTTCCAAAGGCACAAGTCGGGGCGGGCTTTCCCTGCGCTTCCGCACCACTTCGGCGGGAGGCGGGGGAGGCACGAAATGCGTCTTCCTGGGGTTTCTCACCAGCACAGCCGCATTTCAGGGCCCGAGGACTGGTTCCCTGGCCTACGCCTCGCTGGGGATCTTTCCCCTCCTCTTCAAGACCCGGGCGGCCAGGGCGATCCGGGGAGCTCAGCGCGGCTCTCTGCACCGAGAGGGCGCGCACTCACGCGCACACACTCGCTCCCTCCTTCCTAGCGACGACCGCCGCGGGCCTCGGCTTTCCGGCTCAGCCCCCGCAGCTCCGTGGCCCGCGACGCCCCCGCCTTCCTCCTCTCTCCCCGGGCTGCAGCCGGTGGCCTCGGCCGGCCCTTGGCCCGGGGCGGGGCCTCCTGCCTCTCCGCGTGGCCCTGTCCTCTCGGGGCTCACCTTGACGGGTGTCAGAAACGTGTTCGGCTCACGTGCTCGGAAACACAACCGGGCACACGCCCCGCGAGGGCATCTCAGGCGCAGGGGCCTCGCGCCCACACGCGGGGCGCCCCCGGGCAGCTGCCGCCGCAGCCTCCTCGCGCGGGGTCGGGCCGCTCCTCCGAGGCCGCGGACGCCGGGGCGGCAGCCGGGAGCGGGCCCCGGGGCCGGCGCGGGAGCCGCTGTTACATAAGCGCCGGGGCCCGGGCGCCCCCCCCCTGCCTGCCCCCCCCGCTTGCCCCCCCGCCCCGCCAAGCGCCCCCCTCCCCCCCTCCCCCGACCCGCTGGGCGCCCCCCCACCTGTCCTCCCTGCCCTCCCCCCCCCCCCGAGGCCCCCCCCCGCTGGGCGCCCCCCCCCCGCCTGTCCTCCCTGCGCCCCCCCCCGAGGGCCCCCCCCGCTGGGCGCCCCCCCGCCTGTCCTCCCTGCCCTCCCCCCCCCGAAGCCCCCCCGCTGGGCGCCCCCCCCGCCTGTCCTCCCTGCCCTCCCCCCCCCCCCCGAGGGCCCCCCCCGCTGGGCGCCCCCCCCCCGCCTGTCCTCCCTGCCCCCTCGCGAGCGCCCCCCCCCCCCCGCCCCCGCCGGGCGCCAGACGCGCGGGCCAGACAAATGCGTCCCGACCCCCGCTTTTATCAAGATACATTTGCTCGCGTTCCCAAGGTCATCGTAACACTTCGGGTGATAGTTTCTTCGTGCCGCGTAGGTAACACAAGCCACTTGATTTTAAATTACAGATTCTAACCCAGAAGCTTGTTGCTGTCAGATGAATTAAAAGCCGGGGAAGGAAAAATGCTACAGCGCTTGGGGAGGGAGCCCAAGACTGGGGGGCGGGGGGGGGGGTCAAGCAGGTCTCAACGCGGATAAGAAATTTGATGCTGTGGCTCCCTCCTGTTCCCTGGGCCCGGTGGTTGCACAGGGGGGCGATGTAGAAAGAGGTGCACCCAGGAGAATGTATTCATACTCAGCGGGACTCAGGGGCAGGGCTTTTGTTTGTGTTCTCGCTGGCTTCTAGCACGTTTAAGATGCTCAATTAAAATTGAGCAATCCCTGTGCTTGTGTAAATGTTTACATCCTTTCTACAAGCCAACTATGCGTTGTTATTTCCACGTGACAAAGAGTGAGACAAAGCGGTAGAGTGGATGTCCTGAGTCTTGAGAACTGGCAGCTCTTTCCATCTCTAGTAATTTGTTTATTGACTTCACGAGTACTTCTGTAGCGCTGCCGTGCTCTAGACACAACTCTACAGATATCAACTCTTTTGATGCTTAAAATAATACAATGACGGTAGGCTCTATTATAATCATCATTCCATGATAATCATACACGTGATAATCATAAACTAATGATTGATTAGTTTGCCCTGGGTCCTTAGCTAAGAAGGGGAGAATCAGGATTCCAGGGGGGGCAGTCGGCCTCCCCAGTTTCTGCTCCCAGCCATCGCTGTGCTGCACACTGGTTAAATGCCTTGGGCACATCTTTTCATATTCTAAGCCTAAAGGTGATCTTTTAAAAAACAGGCAAAATTCTCGTTTCAGCCACAATGGATTTTTGTGATTATGAGAGAATATTATTTTTGCGACCATTCGAATTATTTACAGATTGAGAATGAGGGATCATTGTCATTGCTTCAAGATATTGTTCCAGTGAACGTCATAGAAATCTGCTAAGGATGTGCATGTGTGTTGGAGGTAGCAGGGGTATTATAAGACCTCCTCAGTTCCATCCGTTGATGGCAATAAAATGTGTAGACAAAATTCCAATTGGGGCCATTTTACTAAGCACATGACTCTCGGGTGGGAAATTATCCCTTTAATTTGGGCCTTCCCTGCTGGTAAAGGCATCTATGTACCCACATTCCCAAAGCAAATAGTTCCCAGTTCCATGCTGCCTGCACTGGAAACATGGTCCAGGTACACACACCTTCCCAACACCAGCGGCACTATTCAGTCTGGCTCTTGGTATTAGGAGTTTGAAGTCAATGGTCAGGTCTGGAGATTTCAGAATAACTCAGAATATTTCAAATATTCTGCCCCAATGGTCACACAAGAATAAACCCACACTTTTTAGCCTGAGCACTATAATGTTTGCAGAAAATGTAGCCACTGAAAATTTAGAGAAGGGGTATATTCAATATCATACGTGGACTATTTTCCTTTTACATTTTTTAATGGTGCCCTTTTTTTTAAAAAAAAAAACGATTTTATTTATTTATTCATGAGAGACATAGAGAGACAAAGAGAGAGGCAGAGACACAGGCAGAGGGAGAAGCAGGTTCCACGCAGGGAGCCTGACATGGGACTTGATCCTGGGTCTCCAGGATCACAGCCTGGGCTGAAGGTGGTGCTTAACCGCTGGGCCACCCAGGCTGCCCCTGCCTGTTTAATCTGCTTCCTGTCCTCCAGGGAGACTAAACGTGTTGAATAGAAGTTCTTCTCTTTAGGTTCTTGAGATAGAAGACGTTCCAATAAACTGTTGCACAGATGAAGTGTGGGTTCCGACTGACAATTCTTCAAGTGATTTGAAAAGGAAGAATAGTTTGTGTGTTTACGGTATCTTTGATGAGAAGATCCAAAGTATCCAGGCACTCCTGGGCTGTGCAGCTGAGCTAAGACACGATGGTTTAGCCAGTGCCACTCTCTTTCTGTGCCCTCAGTCAGGCTTTCAAGCAAACGAGATTAGGGCACCAGCACACATGCACACACATACCATGCTCAAGAGAGAAAAGAATACTTTTTTAAAAAGTATTCTCTATTTCAGACCTGAATGCACTTGAAATTGTCACCATGTGGAGAATCACTCATTTGGAGGACTTTCGTACCCATGTTCTATAATCGTAGATATGTGATTTTATTTTAAATTATAGATCGTCAAAAGTGGAGGGAGTGCATAATCTTTTCAGAGCTACTTTAATCTTAACCTGGACGTGAGTAGAACTACTCTTACTTTGAGGAGTTCACATTCACCAGAACTGCTCAACGAGCAACTTTTGACTGTGGTATGCAAATCTCACACTAAGAACTGGATTCAGTACACTAAGTCTCAACAGCTGGGGACTCTGTTCCTTATCTAGACTCTCGGCAAGTCAGACCATGAAGAGAACCATTTCTAGGAGGTGAGTGGAGTCCCAGGAACATCTTGTTCTATAAAGTGGTTTATGTTGTGACAGTGTCAACAAGCGCTCACAAGTTTTGATCAACACATTTCAAGCTCAGGTCTTGCTCAGGGATTCCATGGTTCTTTATCAGCAGAGTTAGAACTTGAATCAGGCTTTTACGGCTAAAATGCTATCACATAGGCCAACAGTATTCAGAACCTCTTGGCAGCCAAAGGGCCATTTCGAGTTTATTTTTATGCTCAGAAACTACATGATTATAGGTGGACTTTGGTTGAGACTTGTAGGTGATGAAGCTGACATCAAGTCATCTACCTTCTGGAACCATAATTTTGTTTTTCCAGCAATCTCTTACTGGGAAACCCAGCATTCCTAGACACCGGGTGGCACTCACTATATTGAACACTGTCGTTTTTATTAACCCATATTGCTAGTTGATCAATCGCTACCAATTCTGGCCAATACAGTGTTTACATTGCAGAAGTGTATTCTTTGCTTCCTAGTCTTTTGCAGTCTTCAGATGAGCAGTTTTTGAGGTCAAAAACAATCACAGCATGCCTTTCAGGGATGGCTCTTGAGTTTGGGATTCGTCTAAACTACAACTGCAAACATCCCACAGTCAAGCTAATGTTGTTGGCTCAATGTGGGAAAAGTGCCCAACATCTGTAAGGCAAACAAAAAATGTGATCAGGGCTTAAGGATTGCTCACTAACAAATCAACCTGCAGCCATTCCTGTGTCTTGGGTACTCCGTTCCTGAGGAGACAACAGCCCCTGCATCAGAGAACTACCTGAGAGGGAAGAGAAAGAATGGCTTTTGTTAATTAGCTTTGTCAAGAGTCATCCAATGGTCCTGTAACCGGAAAGGTTTTTCTTCTGCTTTCTTGCAGCTGTTGTACTTCCTGCTGAGTGCCGTGGGCCTGACGGTCTGTGTGCTGGCTGTGGCCTTTGCTGCCCATCACTACTCACAGCTCACACAGCTCACCTGCGGAACGGCCCTCGATGCCTGCCACTGCAAGCTGCCCTCCATGGAGCCACTCAGCAGGACCTTTGTGTACAGAGATGTGACTGATTGTACCAGCATCACTGGCACTTTCAAACTCTTCTTGCTCATCCAGATGATTCTTAACTTGGTCTGCGGCCTTGTGTGTTTGTTGGCCTGCTTTGTGATGTGGAAACACAGGTACCAGGTCTTTTACGTGGGTGTCAGAATGTGCTCCCTAACAGCTTCCGAAGGCCAACAGCAAAAGGTCTAACATTCTTGCTCAAAGGTGGGAGAGGAAATAGCACACTGAGTAGCTGAGGTCAAAAAGGAGAAAAGAAAAGAGAAAGAAAGGGAAGGAAGGAAGAAAAAAAACTGACAATAGCTGATCATCCCTGTTCTCAATGAATATTTTTGTATTTTTTCAGGAAGTAAAAGCATTTCTTCAGATTTCTATAGTATTTTAAAAAATTTTTACAGGGAGAATATGATCCAAATTGACTTTGGTTCATTAGAAGAGCACAGAACAAGGAAAGGATGGCATACGTCTATCTTTGCAGTCTGGAGTTTATTCCTAATACAGATTTCCCCCATTTATCTGAAAGGAGGGCGTTCCCATGAAAACTTTCGTAAACTGAAATGCTATAAAGCAAAAGAGCTGTTTTGTAGAAGCAAAAAAAAAAAAAAAAAAAAAAAAAAACCTCTTCAGATTTCTTTCGATTAGTGAAAGCATGTATGAATGTAGATATTTTCTAAAGCAAAGTGGCATAAAGCAAACTTTCAGACAGCAGGGAAAATGTGTCCTCATTTTAGTCATTGTTTGTATAATCTTTCCCGTTAGTTGAGTTTATGCTGTGAATGGGCATTTCAGGCCCATTTGCTAAATTTCACAGTCTTTTCCAGAACTTTCCACCTCCCCCTATTATCTTCACTAAGCCTTGGAGGAAGGGGGGGTGGGGTGGGGAAGAGCTGAACAGCCAGCCAGGTTGACTCTCTCTATTTTCCCTGGTAGAGGTGTCTTCAAGGCATGAAACAGCTCAAAAGGAGCAGAGTAGAAAAGGAAGAGGCTTCTCAAAGGCTAAATAATTATAAACACCTGGGCTGGGGTGGAGACAAATTTCTCTTCAGCTCCCTTAGTTTGGCTCCCTAAGTAGATCACTTACTAAATGCTTTGGATGATTGTCCGCTTCTCAATAATTGAAAGTTGGTGGTAGTTGTATTCTTAATGATGTAGAAGGCTCAAAAATAATTACATTATGCTTCTATTCTATCATCTAAAACAAATCATTAAAACTAATTTCTACCTAATTGTTAATTATAATTATGCTCCGAAGCCTACTTAATGAGCCCTGGCTGTACTTACGTAGCACCATCAGAGAAATTACTCTCACAAGAGAGGAGGCTTAAAGATTCTTCCTTCGGAAAGCCAAGCTTCACAAGAGAGAAGAGAAATTTTTTTTTTATTAATAGCTCAGGTTAAAAATACTCGTTTAAACAAAAACAAGAGCATTTGTAATGGGCCATGTTTATACAAATAGCACATTTGTGATACGTTGTAAAGTATCTCTCTTGGCAGCTAAGTACTTTTGAGGAAGATTGGGAATGCCAATGTTCCATTCATAAAAGTGTATCTGACTTCTAATCCTATTATTGACTTGCATGCACAGTCAACCTAGAGACTTCAACTCCTGTTTTGAAGTCCTGATTTGAGCATCTGCCCGCTGACTTGGAAGGCAGTTTTTATTTTGTTTTGTTTTAAGTTACCACGACTTACAAAAAGCACAGGTACCCTGTGGTGGGAGTCTTTTCTGTCTTATTATCAAGTTCTGAACAATATCCATGTTTTAAAGAAGGAGCTCAGAATGCAAATTCATGCAGCATAAATGTTATCAAGGTCTTTCTCTATTAGCATGCTTTAGTGAAATCAGAGATTCAAGATAATAATTGAGATGAATTTGCCTCTCCACATTGCCTATTGATATACTCTGCGAGTCATGAAATTCAACCCTGAAAGAAAAGTGTCTTCTTGTCTGCCTTAAAAGACAGTTGAACAATCCCACTGATTGCGACAATAGTGTCAATCTCTACACCATATAAATATCCAAGTAAAAAGAAAAACATTAAGTCAGTTGGAGGACTGTAAATAGCTTTTGTGTCCTCCAGATAAAACACCTGATTAACAGATGTGAAAACCTTTTTATGTATTGACTCGCTTTAAAAGATGGCCTTCCTACACACGAGCTCAGGCCAAGATTTCACATTGGAGGGCTTATGGGTAAGACTCTGGGGCAGAGGTTTGATCACACACAAAAACTACAGTGAGAGAACACCAAGCATTCTGATGACGACCCGAAAAATACTGTGTGCTGTTAAAAAACCAAAAAAAACCACCAATAACTGAAGCCATTTTGCTTTGGACCGTTTCCTACATAAAGAAGAAAATAACTGAGAATCTGAAATATTGTAGCTGTTCTATAAAGAGTGAGAAACTCATGATTTAATGTTAATTGCTATGAATCAGGCACCCCTGGAAGCACACCCTGCATTCCTTTGACAACTTTTTATAGCAAACACTACACTACAGGTTTTATATTAGAAAATTAAAATTCTACACATCACCAAGGTGCTTGATGCTTTACAAACAATTCACAGGGTATTTCAAATGGTAGAGAAACTTTAGCTTATGTGCTTTCTTTTTCTAAATGTTGCAGCCAGGCAGGATTGACCTAAGTTTGATAATAATCAGGCGATATAAATATAGATATAGATATAGCAGGGATTTTGCTTTTGTGTAATTAAAGCATTCTTAAATCCCCAGAGGGGGACAAATAATTGTAAGTGAAAGAAGGAACAAATACATAAATAAGGAAAGACACCAAGAAAAGATTCCCGTGCTGTGAACTCACTGAGTATTGATACGTGTAAGAATTGTGTTGCATGAATAACAAACTGCTTTGCGCTGGATTTAAAGTATTTTGAGGTTGTGTTTTGCAAATATTGAAGTTACAATAACGGCAACAGAAAAGGAACAGATACACAGCTTTACACTTAGCAAAATGTTACAGTTAAAATCTGACAAGGAGCCAGGATGGTGACTGTCTCTTCTAAACCATAAAACAGTAAGATTTGCGCAATCCTCCTCCTCTTCCACCTCCTTCAGGAGAATTAAATGAATCAAGACTTTGGAAAGAGGGGAAACTGCCGGGACTTGGCAGTACTTGAAATAGGAGGAATACAGCAGCCTGAATGTACAGACTTTGTAACCGAGCCCACTCGATCGGTCTGTGCTCTCACGTGACCACCATCTGTGCCTCCCTCGCTCGGTCCAAATTTGTGGAGGCAGCTCCTTGGAGCCGGGCCTAAAAATATAGCTACACCAGGCCCTAGAGACTGTAGTCAAGTAAGAGGCCCAGCTTTCTCCCCCTCTTCGAATTGAACGTCTATCCGATCTCTTCGGAGGGGCTTCGAGCTGCACTAGCAGTGTGTCCTGACAGCGAGGACCTGTTCTGTGTGTGTTTTCTGTCCACGGCCAGGACATCAGCGTCTCTAAACACTCTCGTACCCCCCCTCTTGCATGCACTGTATCTGAAATATGTTTATAGATCTTCAGGAAAGGGAAGGGTACAGGGTATCCAAGGAAGGTTCTGGAGGACAACGATGGGGCAGTTATGCCATCAAGAACAAACTTCGAAGTTGCCCTAAAACACCAGTCCTACCCTGTCACGAAGCCCACCTTCTGGGGCCTAGTGAATGCCTCTGCACTGTTGCTAGGTGGCCATTGGTTTCCATAAGTCACGCTGGCTGTCCGTGTTTACTATGCTCCAAGAGCTCTGTCATGCTTCTAGATGTACACTGAGCAGCCAGGACGGGGCTAAAGAGGGCTGCTGGCCAAATATCTTGACTCCCAGTGGGAGGCATTGGTTCGCATGAAATCTCAGTGTGTCAGCCTGTGAAATGGATGCCCTGATTCTTTTCTGCCGATTTTCTAGTACTTCATGATCTCCAGTGATTATCCCCCTCAAAAATATTGGTCTGCATTTTGGTTGTTGCGGTTTCATTTTTCTGGCATTGATGAAACAGTGAATCGAAAACAAAGTGCTCTCTACATGTTTGAGGTGGTGATTTTCAAGGGGATGCACCTATGCAGATTTTCTTTGTTAATAAAATTTTTCATAATCTCTGAAAACACCGCGTTTGGATGTGCTTTGAAGTGCGTTGCACGTGAACTTGTCTACATAAAATCTCTCCGATTAGTGTTTATTTCAAAATTCCAGTTTCGGAATAGATGAGAACTAATAGTCATCTTGACTCCTTTGTTCCAGGGACTGTCTCTATTTTGGTACACCGCACCCACCGTGCAAGTCAAGGTTATACATGCTCCTCAGGCAAAGAGAGCCGGAGCTGAAAAAAATCTTGCAGAACGTACTCAGAATGCTGATTCTTAATTCATATCTATTAACGTCAAGTAAAGCTTGGCCTAGAGAATGGAATACATGTTTGAGTGCCACATGTTCAATCATATCCTACATTTAATTATACAGAAAAACAGACGGCCTAATTCCATTTCAAATCTGAATGCAAGGACTCCTTCTTATGAACTCCGAGGCAATTTAAATAGTTGATTATACTATAAAATGCAGTGGTTCTTTCTGTTTATTTAACTTAGGAAAGCTTTTAGAAAAGAAAAGAAAAGAAAAGAAAAAAGAATAATGACTTAAGATACTCTCTCAGAGGTGGATTTCTTTTTTTTTTTAAGGTTTTATTTATTTATTCATGAGAGACACACAGAGAGAGGCAGACACACAGGCAGAGGGAGAAGCAGGCTCCCTGTGGGGAGCCTGATGCAGAATTTGATTCCAGAACCCCGGGATCACGACCTGAGCTGAAGGCAGACACTTACCTGCTGAGCCACCCGGGGGCCCCTGAGGTGGATTTCCTATCCTCAGTGTTAGGGTTGCAGGTCTTAGGGGTGGAAATCTGATGGCTGCTTTCTGGCTACTTGACTTTAGACCAACCATTTAATGTTTAGCTTCCTCATTTGTAGGGAGGAGAAAAACATAACTGCCTCACAGTACCATGGGGAAGGTTAAATGAAATAGCACTAAACAAAGAGACTTGCTCGGAGAGGCCTTGCAAAACATTTGGTTTCTTCCATCCTTAGCTGGGTTCTGCATAGCCTGTGACGCTTCTCTTATCCTCACATCCAGCTAGAAACATAGCTCTGCTTTGCTATCCCCTTCTGTAACTCCCTTTTTATAAACCAAGAACAAAAGGGGCCTCCAACAGAAATTCTGCTTTTAAAATAAGATAGCGCCAACTCTTACTGATGATAGCGCATGGGATTATGTGCTGGTTGGATCCCTATTTGTTGGTTTACACAGCTGGACGTTTCCCAAATGTGGCCATCTTTTCTCATTTCTTCTCGCAGGAAGGAGTAGAAGCTGAGGCATTTCTCCTGACTTTCATGTCACTTCGAATTTACTTTGATAGAAGTGTGCTTAACCCCAGCATTTTAAAATGAAGCTTTATTGAGCTTTGGTACATTATCAGCCTCTTGTATTTTGGGTTGTGATGTACAACCCCTCATTTATTTAAAAACCAACCATCAACCACCTTTGGTATGCTCAACTCTGTGGGTCACTGATTCTCATTTAAGAATCATAAAAAGGTCTATTTTTGAGCATGGTCAGCAAATACCATCTAGAGCTTCATTCTCCAGATTGGATATGAGAACACTCATATGAATCTTTAAATTTGTGGCAAGTTACTGAAATTATACAGACAGAAATCTACTTTTTCCCTTGGTAGAGTCTATCTTTATAATTCATAATAAATTGTTATATTTTTTCATTTGACAGATTCATCTTTTATAAGTTAGACTTTATGAAGTACAGGACTAATACTGGCTATTTTACTTTTAAAATTAAGATTGTCAGCAAATAAAAATGAAACTAATGTATGGGAATGCCAGCCTGAAGGCAACTCATTCTTTCCCTTCTTTTCAACAAATATTTATCTATGTTTCTTGATCCCTTCCAAAGAGATCTTAGAGGTCCTCAGAGGAAGTCTTTCTTGTTGTTGTTTGTTTGGGAAGGTCATCAGAAAGATCCTTTAATCAAAGGGATATGGGACATATGCTCATCTGTTATTCTTGGGAAAAAGCAGGTACTAGGGACATAATCCAAATACACAGATTTCAACTGAGATATGAAGTCTTAACATTTAACAAGGCTCTCTGGTTTGGGCCGGGGGGGATGCAGAGGCCTGAAATTCATTTGTGACACCTGTGTTGGACCTGCCCCTTCTACATGAAAGCCTGCTGGAGAAGGAGGTGGAGGCTTCTGAGGTGGGGTCTGGCCCTACCTGCTGCTGCCGGGAATTGTGGAGGAGGTGTGGTTAATGCTCAATGAGAGAGTTGAACAATGAGCTGTCCATGGCCATTTCTAGGGTCTCTGAACCTGGAGATTTAGGACCACGCCTCTCTCTGGGTGGGGTGCTCTGCTTATTCTTTCTATCCAGCCCCCTTTTCACAGAAGCCCACACCTGTGTTGCCATTGCCTGACCAGGTATGACTAGGGAGGGCAAGAGGATGACTCTCAAGAACCACAGGGGGCTGTGGCGCTTCTGACCAGAGAAGATGACTGTCATTTCATGCAATCCATTCCCAATACTCTCCCTATATCTTCCTAGGGATGTGTTTTATGGACTATTGGTGACCCAGGGAAGGCCTGAAAGTGGTGTGCTGGCCACAGTGCATTATCAGAGATAGAAGGAATAGAGTCCGAAAATTATGTGATTAAGGTTGTCACTAGCTTCAGTGGATTTTTAAAAAGATTTATTTATTTACTTATTTATTTTAGAGACACAGAGAGAGAGAGAGTGAGGAGAGAGCCAAAGCTCAGAGGGAGAGGGAGAGAATCTAGGCAGACTCCCTGCTGAGTGTGGAGCCCAGTGCAGAACTCGATCCCATGACCCTGAAATCATGACCTGAGCCAAAATCAAGAGTCAGCTGTTTAATGGACTGAGTTATCCACGTGCTCCTCAATGATTATTTTTAATTCTCTTTCACTCAGGATAGAATTAATGCGCTCTTACAGAATAAACGACCCTCTGGTACCTTTTTGGGCAAGAGTAGATTCTTAAGCTTTCATTAATTTTTTTCCTAGATTGCAACAGAAATGACTATATAACTGAAAAAAGAGCTTACTTTATTTTAATATACAGAAGCTTAGGACCAGGGACACTGAACATGACTCTCCAACCAATGGCTGGGAACAGGAACTGAGGCAAATGCAGGGAGGAATGACATCATTAACATATTTGGGGACCTAGTGTGACCCTCACACCCACCCATCACTAGATTTCAAAATTGCTTTGGATAGTTCTGGAGGAAGGGAAGGGAGAGGTGGAAGGCCACCTCCACTCCTGGGATTTCTATGTCTCTCATCTCCTGGGCTCTTTCACCCTTCCAGAGAAGACACTGCTGCCCCTTCCCCACCTCATCCCACAGCAAAATCTGCCCCACTCCCATTTCTCTGACAATCAACTCAAGTATTGTTAACTGAAACACCGGGGGTTAAAACCTTAAATACAGAGATACCTATAAATATTCTTTTCATTTTAGTAGGATTTCCTGAAGCTCAGAAAGCTTTTTGGGTCCAGAAAAATGAGGCATGATGTGGGGATGGGGTGGAGGGAGGGAGGAACTTGCCCAATAGAACCTCAGACTCAGTCATGTAGGCAGCCACCTACTCTGTCTGACCAGAAGAGTCATCGTCACAGAGCCAGTGAGACTTGGAGAACGTTACCCAGTAGCCCCAGCTCTGGCTGCGGCTTGGGAAGCTGTGTGGGTCTGCTGCTGGTTACAGCTGAGCAAATCTCTGCTCCAACTGGTCGAAGGGAAGCATCTAAAAGTCTAAGGGAAAGGGTTTTTCCTCCCATGATTTCAGAGGGTATTTTACTGTGGGAACCAGAATGAGTAAAAAAAAAACAAAAGCAGGGGGGTGGGGTGGAGAATTCACCCAGAACCTCTTGGCCCCTAGTGCCCGGCTCCGTGAGCATTACTTGTGACAACTCACCAAGGTTGACTAACTTTGCTCTGACCCCCGGGGCTTCTCTATTCATCCCACACAGAACACCCTCAGAGACTGGCTTGGCTTCACGTTGCTGCCCAGAAGAGGACGTGTCAGGCAATAAGCAAGGAAAATGCTCATTTCTTGTTGAAAAAGTCCCAGATTGTAACTTAACAGGGTGATCTTTTTTTTTTTTTTTTTTTTTAGTTTCCAAAATGTGCTTTTCCCCAGAGTCCTTGAGCACAAACCTGCGGTTTTCTCTCTCCTGAGTTTTATAGTCTATCTGCCTCAAGCCAAGAGACTTGGCTCTGCTCCCCCTGAGTCAGAGTCTCGGCTGGTAGCTGAACCCAGGAAGCCCTGGCCCCACATCTCTCCCTGGAACCACCAGACCACACAGCCTCCTGAGCTCAATCCTTTGGCTGGGTATCCTGCCTCCTCTTTGTTTGGAAAGAGATGTCTTACGTAACTGCACAACCTACTAAATGCTCCATTGTCTTCCACTTGGGAGAGCTCAAAATAACCCATTAGTGACTTATGACTTATCACAAAGATAGAATCTCTTACCCACATCTCCACAGCCCCCGTGGAGCAAGCCTCACCTATCTTAGATCAATAATCAACAACGAGACTTAATGACTGTTGTCTTTGGGGAATCATAAGTTTGGGACAAGGTGCAGGAAATACAAAGCCTGGTTGATCTATAGGTCACAGTACTTTGCTCGAGCAGCATATGAGAGTCATTTGTAATTCGAGATTGAGACAGGCATAAACAATTCTGATCAGATGATGCTTTTACTAATCTGATTTTGATAAACGCCTGATGAAAATGGAAGGGGTCTGGTCATCAGAGGAGAGATCCCCGGGGCAGGGAAATCAGTTTCTCTTACCTCACAGGGCAGGGATTTATTCTGAAAGCCCCTGTTTATAGTCCACAATGCCCAGAGCTGTGATCACTGCCCTGGACTGCGAGAGCCTTCTAAGCATAATGATAGAAACCCATTGGATAAGGTCTTCTCTTCCTCCTTATTTTCTATGAATCTCTGATCAGCCCAGTTGGGAATTCTAGTAATTACTTTAAGCTGGCACCTCTAGAAAAAAAAAATATACCTCTTAG